TTTTCATGGTTCCGCTACTCCTCATGCATATGGTGGAAGCTCCTTTCCCTGAGGATACGGTAGCTTGGAAATGGAAAACTTGGGCTTTACATAATGGAATCCGTGCTTGGGCTTCTGCATTCTTTCAGTTTGCCTTCATTCTTGAGTGGGCTCTTATTAACTTGTAGCTCTGCAAAGAACAAGTAATTTAATGCTAACTGAGATGTACTGTTTGTAGAGTAGGTCTGAGCAAGTTCAACTCAATGACACCCAAAGCTGTAATAGCAATCAATCAACTATTCAAATTTATCAAGAAGAAAGTCAGACTTCAAATAGCTAAACTTCTGTAGGACACAGATTTCCTGGAGTCTAAAGGAAGCGCTTTCCTTAATTTCCAGTTACAGGCTTACATATGAGCTAGTGTTTTCAAAACTCTAGTCTTATGTCAGCTATTTTAATGAGTAAATTTTGCTAATATTCAAAGATTTGTTTTCTACATTTTGTTAGGAATTAATATCTTTGACATGGTATCAGTCAAAGGCTAGGTGTCAAAAATGAATTTCTTAAGATTGGATTATAGTAAATGCAGTGACAAAAACAGTGCTGTGCATAAAGCTATAAGTGAAGGACAATTTAACAGAAATAGAAAGGAGTTAAAAAGAACATGGATGCAAAACTGTTGATTTTACCCTGCCACCTGAACTACTCTGGCAGCATTACTGTACAGTTTGTATTCAAGCAACACGGGGATTGATCTTACAGCATTTTTAAATTGGCATCATTTCAATGAACAGGATGGCTCTTGACTTGAAATAGCATAGTACTGATTTTCATTGCTCTAATACTCTGAATCATTCCAATACGCCCTACTTGCAGTATGAAAATACACACTGATATTTAGGCAATTTTTTCCTTCACGTGAATTTTCAGGGAAGATTTTGGATGCAATTAGCTAACGGCTTTCTGAAATTAAGTCATTAAAAACTGTAGAGATAAGAATGAAATTCTATAGAAATGACAGTCTTGTTAGGCAAAAGGTGCCAGCAATGGAAATAATTTACAGCAGTAAATACTACAGAGCAGTCTTGGCCAATAACCTTTTACCCAAACACCTATCATTTTCTCTAACAGTCATGAGAACAGAGTATTAAATATGTCTGCAACTTTACCTCTTTTGGGACCAATAAAACAGTCTATTCTGATGAAACTCTAAAAACCCATTCAGTATTTAATGAAGAGCACCTGAAAGACCAGTTTTCACCCACACTGTTGAAACTTAAACTGTTTAAACATGGTTTATCAGTTATGAAGATTATCAGAAAAATACAGCACAAACTAACACGCCCATCAGGAATAGAAAGCCAATTTACAGTGAGAAGGTGTACGGGGCTCAGGAACTTGGTCACAGTATGGAGAGGCTGCATGGGGCCAGACAAAGGTATCTGGTTTAGGATGAGGATGAGGAAGATGAGAAGATACAAACAGTTGGAGAGGAGACTCTGTTCTTGAGAGAGAAGATGAGGAAGTATCAGAGGCTAAAAAGCGAAACAAAGAGAATGATAAGGGGGAGGGGGGGAAGCAGGAAAGAAAAAAGATCCAACAGGGTTTAATGGACTCATGGATGCCAAAAAATGCAAAGCATTTATTTCACCAATCAGTAAGATGGAAATGGCTTCTACATAAAATAAATACCAATTCTTCTGAAAGCAACATACCCCCCCCCATACTCATAGGTACTCTCCTTCCATACTAAACTAGATTAAAAAAACAAATTTAAGTGTTTTTTTGTCCCCTATGTTCTAATGCATAAATTTGTAGAATATATTTAAGGGGAAATAAAGATCAAAGTTTAAAACTCAGCTACTATCGTTTCCTCCTATGATAAACTCAGTGGACTGCAATGAATACAGAAAAAATTGAATAATCCGTTTTTAAAAAGATTGAGTGCAATTTACCTTAACCAAAATAGCCAGCTGAGTCTCATGTGATTTGCATATGCATATCTATCATTGGATATGAAATGTGCCTGCCTCCCTGTGAGATTTTACTTCAGTGATTGATTCATCAGAACTTTTTTTTCCCCCTCCATATTTAATTCCTTCATCAACATATACAAATATGGGTGCTTGCCACTCATGGCAAACCAGCTGAAATAGAAGGCAAACTTCAAGTAGATTTGCCACAGCTATTGATCAGGGCCTTAGAATTAACAGTCTAGCTTTGTAAGAAATCCACAATACACTCTTCTGATACTTCAAAGATTACACAAATATAAACTTGAATCATTTAATAATTTCTGATTATGGGATTGGTAAGTGCTCTATATAAAACTGGTTTTTAAGACCTTTCCGCCCTCCCCCCCAATTTCAACTTCTGTGTAATTGATACATCTGAGAAAAAGAATGTTTTACACCCATTACAGCTAGATGTATTTTTTTTTTAAGGATTTTAAAATTGACATTGCAAGTACACAAGACTTCAGATCTGACTTTTAGCTCTCATTTCTTGGTACTCAAATTGCCCGAACTCAGAGCAGATAGACAAAGATGATCACCATCACAGGTGGCAAGCAAAGTTAGGAAGGGGAAAATTTCCAAATGTTCATGTGTATACACATGCATAAATGTATACACATGGTAGCATTATACTGTATAAAGAGGAGGGGAGTGAACATTTCTGTCCTAAGAGGATTTTCCGCAATATGTTTCCTGCATACTCCTATTTTAACATTTGTTTACTTATTTAAAGGTCAAATTTTTTCTGCATTTCTAAACACTGGGGTTCCACAGAATTCGCATGAGCTCTTTCAGCCTATAAAGGTCTAACATCTTGACCATCTATTGTTTCTATCATCTACCATTTATGAACAATGTTTTTTTGACAGTCTGCTTAAAGTTTTCTCACTCAAACACTATGACAAGCTTGACTTCATCTATTGTTATAGTACCATAACCTTTTAATGTCTGCAAAATTTTTACATAATCTTCTGGATGAAGAATTTTGGACAAAACTTGGATATGGAGCTTTTATATGTATAATACTGTATAGAAAACAGTGGATAACAAAGCTGTAGTCCTTACCAGAATTTGAGTACTGGTATTGCAACAAGGTTTCTTCTGCTAAAATTAACAATTAAAAAAAACCCAAACAAACCCCAAACCCAACCCCAACCCCCCTTAAAAATAGAAAAAGAGACCCCCCCAACTCATCCTCCACAATTACCTTTTATAAGAAAAATAATCAGAAAGGGACCCCATATTTTTAATTTCCCATCTTGTTCTCCTTGACAGTAGAGATAAGCTCTAACAACACAGCTGAGATTCAGAAAAGATGACTAATTAGAACTTCTAGAAAAATCAGACATATATATATATAGATCCGGTTTTCCAATCAAGATATTGGCTGCAGGATTTGAATCTGGGGCAAGCTTCTTGAAATCTCACTGTTTTAGATGAGGTACTTAAAAGCGTTGAGGAATATGCAGTCCTTAAAAAGCAGCAATTCATTATGCTCTCAAGTGTGGCAGATATGAAATAGGACACCCCGAAGATGTAGATCAAGAGCTCTGTGTCCCCATGGGGGAAAAACAAAAGCCCACAAATAACCACAAAACCCCCTCCCACACCACCACCCCAAAAAGCACTTTGTTGAAGGCATAAAATAAATTATCTATATCTATGTCTATCTATATATGTATATGAAACCTTTAAAATCTAGTTATGTCCTTAGAATGAAACAATGAGCTAGACTAAAATATAGAATGATCACTACAGAATAATATAATGTTATCTTATACATTTTAATTATACGAATACAAGACAGAAAATTCTGCATTAGGGGCAGGAAGCTAAATTATGCCATACTTCAGACCATATCACACTGCAATTCTTTGAAATCAGGTGACCTGATCTTTGTAATCAAAACTGTTTGCCATCATAGCAAGCACAGAACATTTTCTGTTTACTGACATTATTTCAAAACTGAGTGAACATTCAATCCAACTTTAACTTTCAGAAGTTAAGTATCTAAATTGGATTTTTCCCTAGTGCACAATTCTGATGTTAAACAAAGAGATACATTACAGATTTCACTGTATCTTAATTTATGGGTCAGTGTATTCTAATTCATAGGCTGGCAAACTTTCCCATAAGCTGTTTGTGTCAAAGTGCAATTAAGCAGAAATTCACATCTGAAAAGTGCCAGGAAAAGCATGATACAACCCAGGAAACAGAAAACTCTCAATATTTAGAATGCAAGTAACATACTGTAAATGTTTTTGGAACTAGCATCATCATGGTAATTCCTTCTGCAATTTTCACAGGATGCATGGCTCACCTGCTTTTTGGCTATATGAGTTTTAAGGCATATCAATTTGCATTCTGATAACTGAACATATTAAAATAGGCAAATTACGTGTTGTAACTATTTACTGACATGTAACAATCTTAGCTTTTATGTAGTGTACCTGTGTACCACATTTTTGATATGTGTATCAAAATATCACAGTATATATTATCTGTAATAAATAAATTTTGCTTATAATGTCAAAGCTATGTCTACAATAAGCCAACCCACCCATGCAATTAAATTTTAACATATTAGAGATTTCAATTAATTTAATTAGCAACAATGTCTTCAGGTTTTTTTGAGATTAAAAGTTTTCTGAAATTTTTCTGATTTACCTTTTAAAAAGTACTTGCAAATACTGAATGGACAGAAAAGCATAAGACTTTGGCATATAGGCTAGTTCAGCATACTAATTTTTAGCCCTTGCATAAGAAGATACCTCTAAGCTTAGCAAGATCCACGCTGTAGGTATTTTAATTTATAGGGAACGTGGTCAGCAAGTGTTTCACAAATAAAAAAGAAAAAAAATCTTATATTGCACAATGTCTATTTCCACTTATATGACAACAATGAAAATATGATTTCATTTAGCAAAATAAAACAAAAAACCTAACGCAAAATCTAGCTATGGCCAGACCATTTTACCTATTTTATTGTTCAAACGCAGTTCTTACCTGTTTCAGGATCACTGAAATCTGGTAATGTAATTGTATTAAGCTGTCGTCTATCAGCAATAGCTCTGTCTAACAGGCTGCTCCCACGTCCGGAATCACTGTAATGAAGTATAGAAATTGCAAGCTATTAAAATATAAAATTATATACTGAGATACAAGTTGCATGCTGCCCTCCTCCCACAAAGGTTCCTGCTATAAAAGTTCTTGCTATGAACAAATTTAGTACCAAGCACCACTAACCACTCACAGTGCATTACGCCAGCTGCATTAAAACAGAATTAAGCTAAGCAAAACTAAATCCATATTTACTTCAGCAATTTTGTTTTCACAATTAATATAGCCACAAAGGGAATACAGTCTTCTAATTCGATTCATAGCTAACAGCTTTACAGAAGGGATTTATTGTACATTAAGCTTTTATATAATATGAGGTACAGCTCTCACACAAAGCCGAGATGGCAGATCTAAGTTTGAAAATCCACACTTTTCCCCAGACTGAAGAGAAACACTAAACTCAGGACACCTAATTTTAGGTAAAGATGTTATAAAGATACCATAACTGCATTTCACATATAAAAGGCATCACTTTTATCTCTGGAGTTTGGGGGGGGTTTGTTTTAATACACACACACACATATTAACTGCCTAATGTTGAACTGGATCATAATAGGGCAGTAGGAACATTCTGAACTCTTCCAACACCTCAGGAGCTTAAGCAGTAGCAGCAGTTTTCACTGATGGCTCCTGTGGACAAATGCACTTAATTTCTACTTCAGTTATAACTCAGTATCTGTCCCTCAGGCTTCTTGCTGACATACTTGCTGGAAAACTAATTCCTCCTAGAACTACTCTTAAAGATTCAGCAGAAGAACAGGGACTGAAGAACTAAGTGCTCCTTCTCCTTAAGATGAGACGAGTATTGAGACACATTGACAGAAAAGTGTGAGGAAGCACATAAGTGCACTCCTTCTTTAACATTCTACAGTTAATATAGTAATTTCATTCTTAGGATTGCAAGTCTGGTACTATTCACTATCAATACTCTTTTAAAAACCTCATTTAAAAAAAAGCACCCCACAAACTTAAAAATAATTAAACTTTAAAGCAAACGGCCTATTAGCCCAACTTAGCTAAAGTTTTGTCTGATTCTTACCGAAGAGAAAAAACTCCACAAAATTCCTAGCTAAAAGTAAAGCCCGAGAAACTTTAATCTAAACTGCAAGGCTGGAATTCAGTACATCTTTCCATTTGCCTTAATTTTAAAATCCCCTCCTTCTGAATTTGAACTGAGAGAATGGCAAGAAGCCTTTCAGCAACTCTTTATAATTGCACACTTCAAAAACCAGTGAAACAACTTCCTCTCTTTGTACAGCTGTTACTAAAATGGTATAAATAAAATTCTGCATTACCCTAACATTATTGCATGACTGATTTCCTTACAAAATGATGCCATTATAGAAATCCACAGGAAACAGAAGGGAACTTTCTGGGACACACACTATCAGCTATAGTTGTTATATCAGTTGGTGCATATTTTCTGGTAACTGCTGTATTAATTACTTCCTCAACCCACAAGCAATGACATGCCAAATGTTGCTGACAAGTAGAGCCAGGCCTAGCGTAAGTATCTTCTAAGCACAGCACTGGCATTGTGGTTTGTTCTGTTTTCCTAATGCAAACTAAGAACTGGAAAAGAATTGAACTATTTTCTAATGAACTTCAAGCAGCAGGCTAAAGATAAACATTTAAACCTTCTAAGCGTTGCACCACAAAATAAGTTTTAAATTCATATTAATCATCTCATGAGGAAAGTGTTTGTATGCCAATTAAAGACAAATGAAAACTGTTCTAAATCAGCTGAACAAAGGTAAGGCACAGTGTTGCACTTAGCCCTGACTTTGTGTGATATATCTAGTTATACATAACTTATTTCATTATTAAGATTACTGAGGACATTGAACCCAACTGTACCCCACAAAATCTGATTAATTGCAAGAAGAATTATTTAACATAAAACACAAGCTTATAAAAAAAGTGAGTTCTTATCTCATTTGGAAAATGATACATCAAAATTAGTTTTCAGTCTAAATCAGAATAGAAAAAGATGTTTCAAATAAGCATAAAGAATATTTAAATATTTGAAAAACAACATTCTAAAAAAGGTTTCAAGTGATTAAAAGACCTTTTATTATTGGCTTAAAGAAGTATTAAAAAAAAAAAGAGCTTCAATTATTTCCAGTGGGAGACATAATTTTCAAACGGTGCTTTAAAACAAAATGAAGTGTATGTTAAAACTACAGAGGCTGGAAAATTTAAGTTTTCACAATCCTGCATCATCATTCTTCAGTACATCTGGAGTGCAGTTGAATCAATAGAACTTCCCAGTCACGTTTCAGGTCTGAAGTGATAATTGTTATCCCAGTCAGACAGATCTGGATCACCGTAATACCATATGAAGGTATTCAGTCCTTAAATTTCACTTGGACCATCCAAAGAAAGGTTACAGCTTGCTATCCATATTCACTGTTTAATGTAATTCTGAATATGTGATTTGGGAAATCTTTCTCCTTCCATCATGACACTTATCCACAGCTCCTGTCCATTCCATTCCTAATTTGATTTTAATTTGTTACCATAAACCAGAACTTCAAGAAAAGCTTTCAATGTCAAGATAAAAAAGCAGTAAAAACTATCAGATGCAAAGTAATCCTCACTAATTTTTCCACTTAGATGTTCTTGAAGAAGAATGGTGACACATGTGAGATAGCAAACTGCTGTCTGAAGCTAACACAGCCAAGAGTAAGTTTTCACAGTCACTGCTGATGTCTGAAGGAAGCATTATTACTTAATGTGTATTTAACATGGCACAGTAGCTCTTAGCACAACAACAATAAAAAAGTAACGACAAGCCATGATTAGAGCCCTGATCAGTGTAGAGGATACAACAGCAGAGATGGAAGGTGAAAAGTTGTGCTGGAGTACATGCAAAGCCTCACTGAAATTAAGCTTACATATAAATGGTAACTATTCTGCACAGCAGTCTGACAATAAACTCTTAAACCCCGCTCCACACACACACAAACAGCCAACTAAAATAAACCACCACCCACTAAGTTAGAAGAGAAATTCTCTCCCGGCTCCCTGCTGCTAGTTCAGTGACTTTGAGTTAAAAATAATTCTGCTCAAACCTTTCTGGTTGCTGACGTACTTACTGTCTATAATCCCCGAGTCCTGCTCCCTGCTCCCCAGCGCAGTACCAGAGTCTTTCTCAGGACGCTGTGACGGACTCGGGTCCCTTCCCAGGCTTGTCCTGCCACACCCTCCAAACCTTCCTGCTCTGAACTGCTCACTAGCTCGCTAAGGAGAGACGCAATTTCCCCTCTTTGGCCATTAAGCCAACTCCGTCAATCTTCTTAAAGAGATGCATGTGTTTACATAACTGAGATCAAACAAAGTAAGAGCAAAAACTGAACAGATAATGTTCATCATACTGCTATACAGGTATCCGATGCCACCTGGTACAAAGCTCTTCTGCTGCAGCATCTGTTCTCCAGAAACTGTCAACCCTTCAAACAACCAGATAGCAGGAGATTCTGCTTGTCCTCTTCTCCAGGTACTTGATAAACATGTTGAATAACACCAGCATGGATTTCTGCAAAGTGGCCTTCCTGTTTATTTCATGGCTTATCTAAACATATGTGGCAAAGGACCTCCAAAGAAGCATTTTGGAAACCCAAATAGGATTGTATCAACTTATCCAAATACTTGTTAATGCCTCTAAGAACCTAAATAGGTTCATAAGCAAGACCTCCCTTTAAAAAAAAGCCATGCTGACTTTGCAAGCACATCATATTTACCCATATGACCTCTAATGTTTCTATGTTCTTAACTAACATCTAGTTCTCCTTCATTTTATTTAGTTAAAGTCCTTGAACTAAATTTCCACTACAGCAATCTCTCCTCTAGCCAATATAGAAGGCTCTATAACCCAGATCGGGGGGGGGGGGGGTGTCAAGACAATACCAGTACATTGAGCCCCATCAAGGAGAATAGCAGTTACCCAATCTCTGTAATCAGTCCTCATCACTGCAGTTTATTAGCTTTGGCATACATTACTTCACAGAACTCTGGACAGTTTCTGCATGTCAATCAGCTGGTATCTTTGCACTTCAGTCTCCAGATTCCCAGAGGATTAGTTTGTTCATATAAAATACCAGACCAAGTAAAAGCAGGACTGCTAATGCTAACATTGCCCTGAAAAGCTACTGAGCAAGGTACCGAGCAGCCTGGAATTCTACAGCGTCTTACCTTGGGTTAGTGAGATTGTAGCAGGATTTCCAAATCTGGAGCATGTGTTTACAGGTAAGGAGTGCTTCATCTGGGCCTCTGCACAGGGACTCCAATTTGACTTTTGTAAACAGTAATCTAGTGAAAAGAGAAAGGAAATTAAAAGAGAAAGAAAACATATAACAATTCAAGCAAAAAATTTTTAAAGATAGCCAACATCACACCAAACTGGAGAAAACATAACTCCAAAGACAATGTTAATTTAAATAATTGTTTCATGAAGTAATTACAATAAAGTCAAATATCTAACGTCATCAAAGTAATAGTGCTTTTTACAAGATGGCCTTTTCAACTGGACAGAAACAATAGTTGACGGGATTTTTAAAAATTTTTTGTGAAATTAGCAGGACCACTAAAAACAGTACTTCATATGTTGAAAAGAAAAGAGATGTCTTCACTAAGGAAAATCTTTACTACTTTTATGAGAAAGTGTTTTCCATTAACTAGCTCAGATGATAGTTATCTAACATATACCTCACAAAAGAAAATAATTCAGTATGATGCAAGTTATTTCCCTGTAGTATTGACTTCTACTATAGGAAATGAAAGAGGCTATATTGAAAAAGATACCACTGGACCAGATAGATTCATGGGAGGTAGTCAGCATTGGTAAGGTCAACAAGAAAATGTAGCTCCACTCTACATTATGTTGCCATCAGCAGGCACTAAAATTGATGTTTGACTTGAATTTTGAACATTTTGAACATTTGCAAGTGACAACCTGAAGAAAGCACATCATTCATCAAATATGCAACAAACTATTCATAATGGAAGCAAACATGTTTGCCGGAAGCCACTATAAATTAATTCTGATTTCAAAGTTGACGTTTCTAAAGGCAGCAAGACAAATAAAGCACATAGCCTCATAAGATGATGACTGCATATTCCTTTTGCATGCCATGTAACAATAGAAGGTTCTCCACAGATATTAACTTAGACACCTTCCTGGAAAATTAAAAAATATAAATGTAATGAGACAATAAAGAAGCTAATCCATTAGTATGCACGTTTACAGGAGTCACAGCATCTGGGAATGTATACTACACTGGAAAAATACTAATTTAAAAGCAATTTTTAGTAAATTGCAAGATTAAAGAGCACAAAGCAGGAGAAGAGTATGCACATAAAACTGTTAGCCTACTTTCTGGTTTTAAACCCAGGTGTACTTTGGCATTTTATTTCAGAGCAACCTTAACCATCCTAAGTGAAAAATTTGTATGATTGGTCATATGGTTTGCGTGGGAAGACTGAGAAGGGTGTAGAGGGTGGGCATGTGTGAAAGCTCAGAACTTTCTTATCCCAAATACAAACTTCAAGGCTGCTAATAGTAACTGCAAACTGCCAGAGGGTTTTCTCAAGAATAAGAAATGACATCACGTGCCTCACCAAGTTACAGTAGCTAAAGCTTTAGTGCTCCACTGAACACCCTTTGCAGAAACTACACAGCATGTAAATCTAAAAATGAATTGCACTACCTTAATTGTACAATGTATATGTTGGTGGAACTGAGGAGGAAATAGAAAGCAGGTCACTGAGTTAAAGAGACTGAACACCTGCGGAGAAGCAAGGTAAATAAGGTCATATGGAGTCTCACCTGATGTCATGTAGGCATCAGAGTAATCAGTTACACTAGTTTAGCTTTCTTCCTATCACTAAATCAGATTTGAGTGTACAGGGAACTATATAGATAATTTAAAGTCATATTTCATTTAGCAGAGCATTTAAGACTTTCAGGAATTTTGTAGCAGAGAGAAGGCACAGGGTCAGTAAATCACTAAGATTCAGCATGCAAGAACTAAAAGAAAAATTGAGCAGGAGATAGAAAGGGAGGGGATTTGATTATTAAGAAATTATTTAAACACGTGTACAAAATAGCAGGACTCTGTGCAACAAAAGCGTAAGAACCTGGACTACTAGTGCAGGATTCAAGGACAAGACAGCAGAACACAAATATACTTGTAAGAATTAAAGCAGCAGATCAGAATTTGATGCTTTTGGATGCACTTGTTACACATGCAACATAATCCCTGTTTCTTATGCATCATGGCAATCAAGGTGACTGGATGGTTGTACGTTTCCCAAAATACAAACAATAAACAAAGTATGATGGAAAAATATTCATAATTCTAATAAAGAAAGGCTAGGCAATTGTATCTAATGGGGGAAAAAAAAAGTACACTAGTGTGGGATTATCCACACTAAACCAAAAATAATCTTCTCGATATAAAAGGTTGCATTCATAAAGCCACAAAGAGCAGTTTCGCTGGGTCCAAGACATATTTGGACTATAAATCACAAAATAACTAAGACACTTCAGAAAACTGAGATGCAATGTTAACAGCAAAACAAAAACCTGCCAACTAAACATGTACTTAAATGGGGGAAGGAAGGGAAGAAAGAGGAAGGAGGCAATGGGCAGGGGGAACACCATGTGACAAACAGGTCTCCCAGATAACTTAAGTCTTCCAAGTTCCCCTGAAATATGGCTGGAGGTACAAGTTGATAACAAGATAAACAAGCAGCTCAGGGACAAGTACTACCTGGAAGGTTTTAGAAACTATGAGGTAGATCATCTGAAAAAGGATTTTCTGAAAGGTCAGCTTCAAGCATCTATGGAAACAACTCTTCTGGAATACAGCCTGCATTACTGACACAGGGAATTTTAAACTTTACAAGGACATTTTCACACGTGTTTTTAATACACTATTAAAAATGGTGAAGAATGGATAAAAACCTACCAAGAGATAGGATGATGAAAAACAAGCTGTACATTTTATGAGTATCATGAATTATCTGGTTGTGTTTGTCTGTAAGAGTCGGAGGTTTAAATTACTGGCACGTGGTGCAGAACAAAACATGACAGAGTAACCACAGCATGGTGGGACAGCACTCATGACTAAGAATGTGAGTATGGAGGAATAGACAATATTCAAAATAGAAATGAAGAGTAGAACAATGTGTGTCAGTGACATGTCAGACTGGAATAAATATAACAGATAACAAGAACAGAAATCCGTGTGGGTCAATTCCTTTGGGGAAGGAAAGTTGGTAAAACAGGTTCTGTTAAAGACATTAGACTAATGAGGCATTTGTTCCAGCATCAGTGTTTGATGTGGATGCAGACCTTTAACATTAGATAAAAATAAAGTGAATTGTATCATTTTAGGAGACTGATTATGCAGACACAAAATGGAGAACAAATCAAACTCTTAAGTGGAAAGGCTTAGTTATTCTTGGAGCTAATAGCTCATAAATTTATGAAATAGCTACTGAAGCAGCAAATGACTCTATTACCTCAAAACTGTTCTCACTGACTAATGAGGACATTATAAAACAGCTGCTCGCAACCTAATCCATGTATTGCTGAATTTTTATTTAAATAAAGAATGAAAAATCCCAAATGGGTTTATAACTAGGTCTTTGAATTTCAGTGGCATACACCCAAATAATGTCATAGCGAAGGTTAGCAAAGACATCCAAGATAACAGCAGAAGCCTCTCATTTAACATAAAGATGGTAAAAAGTTTAAGGATCCACATCTCAAGTTGAAGGAGTAAAACTTGATGTTTGGCAAGCCAATCATTGATAACATTGTGCAGGTAAGACATCAGGAACATGCAGAGATCATATCAAGAATAGCAGGGGACAGAGAGACGGGAGGAGAGAAAGAAAAATCAGCACAAAAAGCTGCATCTTAGGTACACAGTAAAAAGTAAAGATAAACTATACCTGAAGAGTTTATTATACAAAAAAGTTACAGTCTTTAAAGGCTTTTTTGTACCTAAGTACAAAAAAAAAAAGTGTATCCTAAACAGGGGCAACGGGATGAAGATTAAGGATATTTCAGGAATGAACCCCCAACCTCCACCATAATCCTTATCTATGTTGTCTCAGATATGAAAACAATGACAAATGGAGACTAGGAACACTTTAAAAATTGTTACAGCTAATGCAGTCAAAAATAATCAATTTCTCAGTACTGTGGAAACAGTGACACATAAGATTGTCCTTTCTAAAGTAAAAACTTCTAAGAAAATATCACTTCAGTAATGACTGGGGAGCAGCAACTACATTGCCTATGTTTTTTTCAAGAGGGAAGGCACAGACGAATATATACAATCTTAATAACATGCAAAAATTTATACAAAAATAGCATACAAAAAATGAAAGGAGTATTAGATAACATTGTTAACGGAAAAATGGGTTATAGTTCAACTTTAATAAAGAGATTGTACGAAACAACTGTGTAACAGTTACTCTAAAACAGAGCTGCCTAACAGCCAGGTTTGTCAAGGTGAGACAGCTGTGAAAAGAAGGCAAATGCAATTCTGGAACATACTCATTGGAGCAGAAGGAGAAAGAGACAGTGCCGTTTTGTACAATACCCCAGTGAGACCACATCTGGAATGTTATACATAATTCTCATTATAACAGTTAAAAAACACACACATGAGAAATTTCAAATTGGAGCAGCTGCAGAGAAAGGCTGCGAGGGTGATCAGCTGACTGGAGACGCAGAGTATCCAAAATACTTCATTTAGTTAGTCTAGCAAAAAAAAAAAAAAAAGCCAAGAAGAGGTACAAACTCTGTCTATAAATACAGATGAGACAAGCACCATGAAGGGAAAAGAACAATTTATCTAGAGGATAATGTTTCCACAAAAATGAGTATATATAAGGGCCATAAAGACTATTAAAACATTAAGGGTGGAAATTAAGTCTCAAGATTTTAAGTGAAATTGTAGAAAAGACGGCTTCCTCACAGTTTGTTTTGGATAGACTGCAGAAGAGGTAAAGCAAATAACCTAACTGCTCTTAAAATGCAGCTGGTAAGTTTACAAAAAATATTACAGATACGACAACAGTAATAATGGACCCTTGTGACTCCCAAGGTTCTTGCTAATGCTCTATTTCCTCAGCAGTACAAACTAATCTATTAAATCATGATCTGAAGCTTTCCTTACCAGCCAACAAGTGCACTTTGTAGCATAGTTAAGAACTTGTGAATCTCCAAAATAAAATTGCTGTCTTAATTATGCCACCTCCTTCTCAGCCAGCCTGTTTCACTTTTTGAAAGA